CGGCTCCACTTTTTATAGTTTGGTTGAGAAAAACTGAGTTGAATTGGAACATGAAGTTTGACATTTGAGACGGAGAAAGCAAGATGGGGAGGTTTTGGGCTAGAGGATTGAGATGTGATCTCACTGTCCGTCATGGTGGAGGAGGAGGAGCCGGCCGAGAGAGGAGGGAGGAGGTGCGGCGGCGCTGCTGCTCGGCAGAAGGGGGAGGCCGAAACTAGGGGGAGAGAATTTTTAGGGTTTTTGGTGTGGCTCCGATACCATGAAGAATTGTATTTTCCTTGGATTAATTATGTGAGGAGTACATGTATATATATACAACATCTCAATCCTAGTTATGGTAGGAGAGGTATTCTAGGAAAGCTATACAAGTATGGAAACAAATCATAATACAATAATATTAAATATATTTAATATATTTAACAACGCTTACCCTTATTTCTCTATGCGATATATTATAAGAAAATCTACTCTCTAATTGTAAACATAACAAGATGTCGCATGTAACCGACTCAACAAGTGGACACCCGACATATGAAAGCCGTAAGAATCTCAAGTAAGAGATGAAAAATTCAACATGTATCTGCAGCCGCATCTGAGGTCATGTGGCTGACATATATTTTGACTGATCTCCATATAGCTACACCACCACCCATTCTTCTTTGTGATAATCAGTCTGCTATATGTCTTACTAAGAATCCAGTGTTTCACAAGCGGATGAAACACGTTGGCACAGATTGTCACTTTGTTCGGGAACAAGTTATCGATGGTGCCATGACGACTCAAAAACACGTTTCTTCTGAGGACCAGCTCGCTGGTTTTTTGACAAAGCCATTGACTTCTCAACGTTTTCAGTTGTTAATATCCAAGCTTCCTCTTGCTTCTACTAGACTCAGCTTGAGGAGGGATGTTAGCCATAATATATAATTTATACTCCCTCCGTCCCCCATAGATCTTCCCAATAGCCCTTTTTCTTTGTCCACAATAGATCTTCTCAGTTCATTTTTTAACAATTAAAATACCACAACTATCCCCACTTACTTTATTTATTACACCTCACCCACCTCATTTAATACACTCCATCCATTTTTCATTAAGGGTATTATGGTAAACTTTCACCTTTTTTCAACTCTCCTTAAAAACCACCAAAAGTCAAAATGAGAACATCTTAGGAGGACGGAGGGAGTATTAGTTTTGGGGTTTATATGTAATTTACTCATTCTAGTTCTATATATTTTGTACAAACACTTGGGTAAAGTGAAGTGGCTATTTGACAATTCCAATTTCCAATACATGAATTCAATGAATCTCAAGTAAGAGATGAAAAATTCAACGTGTAAACATGAATTCAATGGATACAAAGAACATGAATAATTACGATGCAGAAAAACAGAAGATGGTCGCTAAAATCACGAGAAAGGATCGCATTAACATAAATTCAGATATACTCCCTCCGTCCACAAATAAACTTCTCGTTCACTGAATAGGGTCAAACTTTAGTTACTTTGTTGCCCTATTTTCGTCACCTATTTGATAAAATAATATAGGCAAATCACCTCTAGTTTTGTAGATCTTTTGATATAATTTTTTAATATATAATTTTTATTTTTAAATTTTGCACCATTTTTCATATAAAATGATTTAAAAATAACTCCATTCAAACATCGTAACGCGTAAAGAGAAATTTATTTGTAGATGGAGGGAATAGTTAACTAGTGAAATACCTCTATTACCTTTGGATATTTGTTTTTAAATTGAGGAAGAATGAGGTAAATATACAGCGGATCGGAAGCTCGACATATATTATCATTTCTTTCATAGAAAATTAAAAACACATGAAAAGGATCTCCAGAAAATTACTTACGGGTGACGTGAGTTTTGTCGAAAGAACTCTCAGGTCCCTCTATTTTCAAGAAGACAACTGAGGTCCTTATATTTTGTTATAATGACTGGGAGGGGACATTTCATCCAATATTTCATCCATAAGTGTTAATAAATGTATTTTTTTCCTATTTTTCCATTACTGTTTTTTCCTATTTTGCCATTACTCGGTTTTTTCTTTTTTAGAAAATATTTTATTTCATTTATTTTAATATAATACAAACAATTTTGAATTTTTATCCGATTTTATAGAAGAAATTCTAAAATAACACTTTAAAAAAGAGTAACAAAAAAAAAGAAAAACAAAGAAATAAAAAAAGGAGTGACCTAAGATTTATTACATTAAAACATTTAGAAAAAAATAGAAAAAAATACATTTATTTACGTTTATGGATGAAATATTGCGTGAAATGTCCTCTCCCATTCATTACAACAAAATGTAAAGACCTTTGTAGTTTTCTTAAAAATAGAAAGGCCTGATAGTTATTTAGACAAAACCATTATGAAATGGAGGTCTATTCGATAGGGCTTTTATGACAGTGGATTAATATGTGTGAGGTTGTTGTTGGCGCCCTTGGTGGAGGAATTTGGGGAAATTTTCGACTTCAATCAAACCTGATAATTTTTTGTCAACAAATTAATGTGGGCAAATTCTCTTTTCTAAAAAAAATCGGTCTTTTTTTTAAAAAAAACAAGTACGAAGCACTAATATAACAAAATATAAAAACATCCCAAAATAGCTACTCCGTAAAATAAAAAAAACAGAATTGATCAAAAGGAAGTAATATCTTACTCCATCCGTCCCAAATTATAATGCATGTTTACTATTTACAGGGTCAAACTTCATTCACTTTCTTTCTCTATTTTCATTAGCAATTTGATAAAATAAAATATTATTGTCACTACTAGTTTTGTAGATCTTTTGATGTAGTTTTTTAATATGTAATTTTTATTTTTTAATTCTATACCATTTGTCATATAAAATGGTTTGAAAATAATTTCAGTCAAACATCGTAAACCGAAACAGACGTTATAAAATGGGACGGAGGTAGTACCAAATTAGCTAATACTACTTCAGATTCATAATCTCTGAAAATAGGAACTGTCCAGCAGAACAACACCTTAATTATGCATTCTTAAAATCTGCGAACTCCCCCAAAAAAACATCAACATTCCAATACCAAAAACATATGTTGTACTCTTAGAATTGTTATAGCACTTGAACAGAATCTGAAACTTCAAAAGACCCTTTGCAGCTTTTGCATTTGGGTTGCAGTTCTTGTGTCTTGATACATGAGGCTGCAGAATTTGACAGTACAAACAAATTATTATTATTATTATTATTGTGATTAATAATAATAATATTATTATTATTATTATTGACTGACTGAGTATTAGTTAGCTAATGCATGATGCACTTTCATTAATCCTTGATTGCTTTTGGTCTAATTCAAAAGACAATATTACAGAAGTTATCGAGCATTCTTTAGGCAAAATTAATTGCCTCATAAATCTTCAATCGTATTTGTTTAGGGGGGACCATGTCCTGATAATAACAATAGGAAATACAACCACATTATCACTGAACCTCACATGATCGATTTCCTTTTCATAATTCGTACAGCCACTACTATCCCATACCAAAAAGTTCCGCATTTTCTTTTTGGTCCGTCCCAAAATAAAGTTCCACTTTCTGAAGAAAATATTTGTGCGGTTCCCATTCTTTCTCTCTCAGCATGAATTTTAATCACACACTATCAGATTTTTGAATAACTGTGTTGATTCCGATGTGAAACGTTATTTTGGGACAGATGGAGTATGAGACTTCCATTTCAGCCACAACTGCCTAACACTATGTTTAGTTCGCGGAATTTAGGAGGGGAAAAGAAAGAGATTTCTCTCCTTTTCCTCACCAAAATGGAAGGAAAGATGGTTTCTTTCTTCTTACTTTATTTTCTCCTTTCATTTTCTTTTCTTTCAACTTTTCTTTTTCTTTTCCTTTCTAACCAAACAAGAAAAAATATTTTCCATATCATTCTTTTCTTTTCCCTTTCAAAATCTTTGAACCAAATGTAGTGTAAGTAATCTGGCTACCACACAGCATATGAAAAAACGGTCATACTCTAACAGTGAAGATATCTATTCTGAAACATAAGCTAACCCTACTCAAAGTTTTTTCTCCATAAATTCAACTCATGATTAGCTTATTGATGCTAAATGTCTCAGAACGGAATCTCTAGTTTTGCAAGAATCAAGTACGAAAAGTAAACTTACAGTGATGAACAACAGAACAAGGAATCATATAGGATGATGATTGAAAGAGAGCTAAGAGAAGCAGTATGAATATATAATATCAAGAGCAAAGTTGACTTACAGTAGTTCTTCAAACTGCTCAGACCATTCACGTTTCCCTGCCTTGTCACTGTTGCTGCAGCTGAATCGCGTTCAGAAATGCAGAGAAGTTATTACATTAAATTAAAAGGAGCTATATTAACCAATTAAGAGTTCAACAATGAAAAATAAACAAAATACTTGAACCGCGAAACATTTAAACACGATATAGATGAAAGATCATCTCATAACACAACAGGAAGCACATAAAGTAAAATAAGGTTACTCCGTCGTTCTCTTTCCACTTGTTGTCCATGCACTCATAAATCGCAAAAGATCACTAATAAATAACAACAATAAATAAAGAACGAGAACAAAACTCTTATTTACTGTGGAAACCTCAAACTAGGTAAGAACCACAAGACCAAATTTGGCCTAAACTCATCCACACTCTTTTTTACTGTGGAAACCTCAAACTAGGTAAGAACCACAAGGCCAAATTTGGTCTAAACTCATCCACACTATCAACGACAATTACGATGTTACAATGGTGTCTCACCATCAATGGTTTTCATACAACCAATGAATACTCTTCTCTGAGAATTGAAATTGGAAGTTGGGGGCTCAACTGACCCCCCCCCCTCCCCACACCCGCACGGAACTGAAGCCCCACTTGAACCAACCTCCAACATGAGGGGGATTGGCTATCTCTCTTGGATGACTCCAAATATAGTACCTCCTTGGTTATATAAGCTAGGCAGTCAAACTCTATTTTTTTCGGGAAGTCTGTACATTTATCATAGGACTATTCAACCCCTAATTGAGGAAAATTTAGGATACTCAAATATTTACAAGATAGCTTTGCTTAGGAAATCCAATACGAGGTATATCCTAACAAACTCAGAAAATAACCATTCATACAAAACCTCGTAATGCAGATACAACACCATGTCTCACGTTGCATAGCACGCTGTCACTAGCAGCATGATAGAACAAATGGATATACTGCCAGCCAATGAAGAGATAGACAATTAGTACAAACAAGCTTTTTAGATAATAACCATAACCAGAGCAGAGCCAACACCAAACCACGCTCCACACTCTCACAGGGCTCCACCCTAGACCCCTATAGCCCTTGTCCATGCAGTTTGTGATTACTGAGATCAACATTAATTCAAATTGAGTCAGACTCACTCACTATAGATAGTTTAATTCCCAAGACGGTACATAAATAAAGATAGCATATAAGATTGTTTGATGGCATAGAATAGGACACAATTTCAAGCAGTTTTATCTGAAAAGTGAAAAGTACTCCCTCCGTTCCTAAATGAATTACCTTCTTTCCACTCCTATCAATCTCAAATAAATTACCCACTTCTTTTCTTTCCTTAAAAAGAACAGAATAAGTGGCAGTTTCGGTAGAAAATTAGGTTTGTTTTGTTTTATGGCTACCCATAATCTCACTCCTCTTAACAAATTATATCCATACTTTTTTTTTTCAACGACTTTCTTAAACTCTGAAATCAAACCAGGTAATTCAATTGGGGTCAGAGGGAGTATGTCATTACTTGATGATGGGGTATAACCTAGTCCTGAAACAGTGATGGATTGATGTCACGAGGAAATTCAAGATGCAATCTAATTTAAGGGTGTAGTGTGTACAAAATCCGACTGAAACCAGAAAACCGGACCGGACTGGAAAAACCAGTTTTAGGCTAGACCGGCAAACTTCCGAACCGGTCTCCAATCTTAGAGTTGAGAATCGATATAATTCTGGTCCATTCTAATCCAAAACGTGATGGTTTCCAGGTTGGATTGGTAAAACCAGAATATATTTATTCTTTTAAATTGTTCATTTTTAATACTAATTACTCCGTATATTTGATTAAAAATACAACTTTGTATTTTATTTTTTCATTCTTACTTTAATTTAGCCTATTCAATGTGGTATTATTTATTCACTTTCATTACTTTTTTTAATCGAGAACATTGACATTTAATTTAGAATTTCCATAAAGATTAGATTTATATAAAAAATTTGATGTATAATGTTTGGACTAAGATTTTTAAATACTTTTATATGAAACTTATCTTGGTAAGAAAAAAATATTTTAAAGTGCAAACTTTTCAATATTTTTTTGAACTTTACAAACTAACAAAACTATAAAATTTATTTAAACGTATTATATTGTTGATGAAATATTTTTATGTTGATGTTTTTTTCTTGAAACACGATCAATGGATAAAATATAAAAGTAAGGTTGAATCAAGCTACGTCGTCAATAAACAGAAAACTGCAGTCATAAGAATAAACAGTAAGCATCCTAAGGAAAAGTGTGAATTGACTTACTCCTTTCTATTGCTCTTTTTTGTGTTCTTTGGATAGGAAGATGCACCACTTTCGTCATCTAGGAGTACCAAGCTTTCAGTGTAAGCCCCAAGATAGAACCCTTCTGGATGACCATGCTCAATTCTAGTGGTGAGTTTCTTCTTAAGATCATATGAAATAAGACATCCATCCCTAGCAACAATAAGCATTCTTCCATTTTCGATTGGTCTTAGAACCTCCCCCATCCAATCACTCAACTTAAGAGTAACCGCCTTACTCCATGAAGTTGACACAGTGTACTCTTTCTTAACCCATATGGTACACCGACTCCTCCACTCGCCTTTTACCTCATACTCCATCAACGATAATTGACCCCTTAGCTAAAAAACAGAGAGTAGGAGTGGGCACGTCTCTCTGAGTGCCTCGGGGAACTTCATTTTCTTAAACCTTTCACTTTCCACATCAAACAGTAGCAAAGCATTGTTGCTAAAACCATGATTTTTTCCTTTCTCATAGGCCAGCCAGTGGATAGCTCCATTAACAAAACACTGCGACCAGTAGTAATCAAGCACACAACAATGCACATAATCAGCAGAAATTGACTTCCAGGCCCTTTCCCTAACTGAATAAACCCTAGCCTTAGGTGGCGTTACATTAAAACATGGCTTCTCACTGACATTGTAACTCAAATGCACAACTTTATAGTCATTCTTTTTGGAATCAAACCCGAACCCAATAACACGCTCACATTTTTTGCCAACAACCCTGGGCCTTGAAAGGTTGACATACCTAGACACCACAGGGTTCCATAGAACAATAGTTTCCTTCTCTGGGTTAGCGTAAAGATCATCAGACAGGCATATTAAACCACTGACAGAGCCCACAACACGAAAATGTGACAGCCACGTCTTGACAGGAGGGTATCCAAGGTCACAGCGATGGTGAGCCTCATCAGCAAAATGAGTAAAGTGCTCTTCCTTGAAGCTAGGAGTAAGAGTTACGTGCCTAAAGAAAAGGTGGGTCTGGGCAAATCCAATGTGGGCAGTTATGAAAGATGGAGACTTTATCAGGGTATTCCATGATTTGCACACACAACAACATCTTCCCACGTCTTTTGCAGGAACCCTTTTGAGAATTTCAGGCCACAAATCACTGGAAAGGCACACATTATCTGACATTGAAGCAAAACTGCACAAATGCACTCTACCTGGGCATCCCACAAAGGATCTTATCATATTAGAGGAAAAATGGATTTAATATAATGCTATAATTAAAGTTGCATGTGAACAGAAAACATAGATCATTACTAATTGTATCCAAACAAAGTTCTAACATCATTTCCTCAAAGTGAAGAATGGACTACTCTATCTAGTAGGAATTAGTAATCAAATTTCTCCTTTTAGGATGCCAAGAAAAGATTTGCAGAATTTGATAAGATTATAATAATATAAGGATTATTAGCTTCCTCCTTCGGAGCTCATCCTTCAAAAGTAAAACTTAAGCAACAAATTAATAAGTGATCTATTAATTGTGGAAAACTGGAAATCTTCTTATATACTTCATTACTACAAATGAAAATGTGACAACGTATTCCACACAACCTTAAAAGAAAAAAACAAAGGGGGTACATAGGACGTATTATAACTTCATTACTTTTACACTCTCCTTCACGTGAATCAGTTGTCACATAGTTCTAAACCCTTGACAAGAAATCATCACATTTGCTCCTTCCGAGTTCCGACTCATACTATAGGTCTATCCGTTTCTAGGGAAAACATTTTCCAAGAAATTCTTTACAGATAACTTTAAGAAATCAATTTTACCCAACCAAATAGCCCTAATAGTTTGGATTTTTTTGCATGTTCTTCTAAGTCAACATTTGAAAAATGCATAATTGTTAATACAATAGACTTTGAGACAATCATTGTTCAAGTTCACAAATTTTGACTCTAAACCAACAGAACCCTAATTCTGAACTACTAAATTAACACAAGGGGAGCATATCTTACTATGCACTAGAATACTTAGTTCCTAGAATTGATGGTTGCTTCTGCTTAACCCTCTAAAGCCCCCTAGCCACCCTGAAAACGCCAATCGGCAGCATTTAATGCTAATCGCCCCAAACCCAAAAAACATGCGCAGTACTCCGTACTTTGTATTAACCAAGTATTCCAACAAACGAATTCACGAACATTATAACACAATAAAATTCACAAATTAGACAACTCATACGCATGATAAAAACTAACCACAACTTGAGCATTCAGATTACACAATTAAATTTACCGAATTACAGTTAACAGAAGGATAGGAATTCTATTGGGGAAATTAATGATAACTTGGATGAATCGAGAGTTGTGTAAACACTTTCAGATTGAATATTTTGGTTGTTCACTCCAAAATTCAATCGGATAAAACTCGAAAGTATCAAGAACGAAATATGAGGATTGCTATAAAAATCCGAACTCAAATCCGACCAAGGCTTGCGGGAATTTATAAACTTGCGGCAGAGGGAGAAGACGCCTATCGCGTCTCTTTCCCAAGTTACGCGATCCTTCGCGCGGAAGTTCTCCAAAAAACGGTGCTATCCAATCGGAGGTTTTCTTTTAAAGAAAATCCGAAAATTAAAATTCCAATTGGATTTTTTAACATAGCGGCTCTGCCCCTTGGACCCCGCAGGGGCTGCCGCCCCTTAAACCCTGCTCGGGGGCGCTGCCCCCTTGGAACCCCCGATGTAATGAGATTTTTATCGTAACAAACTCAATGAAGCGTGCACTCCGCACCACCAAACTTCGTTGTAACATTCCTCCCCTATTTTAGTGTAATCCTTGATTAACTAAACAAATTCACAGCAAAACAACAAACTTATGCATAAATGAAATACTGTGACGATTGAATTTCACCTTAGTACATTACACATTTCAAATATTCGAATATCAGGGTATCACTAAGGATTGAACCCTTGCTATTCATTTTGAATACATGAAGATAATATACACAAAAGTTTACATACTTTAATGTTCTAACTTGACACTATTATTTACTAGCCTTGTGTCCTAATCCTTCATAAGCATATCGAAGTGAAGTCTCTACTTCTTGAAGCGGCTAAACTTCATGCTCATATAGGTAGTCCTCTTTATTCTTGCACCTGCATATGCAATTTTTGAAAAGAACTATTAAGAAGACGTACTTCATCCTCCTAATCTTACAGGTCTGAACACATACTTTGGGATAATATACTTAATGTGTTCCAATTCCAAGATGTTAAGATTTTCCACATTGAATTCAGCATCTAATGTCTTATTAGATGGGAATTGGGAATCTTACCATGAGAAATTTTTAGATAGACTTCAATCCAATCCCTATAGCCGATCTCTGCACAAGGTTTCTATTTAACCCTTTGGTTAAATGATCAGCCAAATTTTGTTGAGTCCTTACAAACTCCACTGATATCACACCATGCATAATGAGCTCTCGAACCATGCTGTGTCTCACACCTAAGTGTCTTGACTTCCCATTGTAAACTTGACTATAAGCCTTAGCCAAAGTAGCTTCACTATCGCATCGAATAGATATGGGAGATATTGGTTTTGGCCACAATGGAATGTCATATATCAGATTCCTTAGCCATTCTGCTTCTTTACCGGCTGCCGCCAAAGCCACAAA